ACACAAGTCAATGATATTAAAACCACAATTATATTCATTAATATCAGTATATATAGTCTATTCAAATATATATATACATATATATATATTAAAATAATAAGAAAGAACGGTAAGATTTATAATCTGGTGTTCTTAGGAATAAAAAAAAAAAAAAAACAAATCGAAAAGAAGAGAGATGATCCATACATATTTATACTTGATCATTAGTTAGTAATTAAGTTCTAATGTTTATTTGAAAAAATACCATATAGTTATTAGATGGAGAAATGGTACTTTAAATCTGTAGGAATAAAATTTAAATATTAAAAATATGACTTACTCATATTTAAATAGCCCTTTTAGAAAATCTTTGTGTATAAAAATATGAATTTAATAAAAATTTAATAAAAATGCCAAAATTTTTTTGTCGTTGAAAACTCAAATGACACTGAATAATGGATGTCTATGTTTGTGAGCAGGAGGACACCTCCAAGTGGTGTCATGGTTAGCAAGCTTGTCTCACTAGAACAATTACGACTGAGTAGTGAGTTCGATCCTCACTGGATGCCCCTTTCTTTTGGCCTTGTGCTACATCTAAGCTACACTTGGAAAATCACTATCTATGTTTGTGAGCAGGCACCCCCACCTCACGTAAATGTAACCTGACTTTGTAAGCAACATATATTTGATACATAAGTTGTCTAGGGAAATTAAAACCCAACCACCCCTAATCAAAATAGATTGAATTTTCCTTAACCATAACAACTCAAAATATTAAAATTGTCTGTGCTTATAAATTAAGTAATATTTCTTAGAAAGTTATTCCTAACATCACTTGATAATGGAACGAAACTCTGGATTTTAAGTTTTTAATTTTTATAAATAAATTTACAACTTTAATTTCAGTTTGGAAACAGAACTTTCTGTGTTGTGATTGAATCATATTTTTAAAAAAGAAAATAATTATCATGTCATTAATAATATATAATTAAGTAAAAACCAAAAAAATTTTAAATTTATGTTAACTCTAGGAAAATAACCTAAGGCTAGTTTTATTTTTCCATATAATATATATTTAAGAAAAACTGATGTGTCTTCAAAAATGACTTAAGTTGAGGTATCACTATATAAATTAACAGTTGAGAGAAGAGTGCAATTTAACTTACCAGTTCAAAAATATTGGAAGAGTTACATCAATCATTTTATATATAGACAAGCTGACACACCCGGTAATTACTGGAAAAGCAGATGTTATCTCCAGTTCTCATTCTCATATCCTTTCTTCAGTTATTGAAAAATAACAATTCCAAGTAGCACTGAAGACGGCTTTTGTGCATTCTCAGAAAATACCCAACTGCTGCCTCTAAGAGTTTTGGAGGACATACCAATAAGTTAGGAATATCAAAATTGTAATAACAGGCAAATCGGTTATCTGAAAGTAACAATTTAAAGTAAGTAGCCCTGAAAATGGCTTTTGTGCATTCACAGAGAATATAGCCCTTAGGAGGGCTAGTGTTAATCTAAATTTACAATAGATGTACAAATAGACTGGCATACAGTTTCACAATAGACCTGCAAGTAGATTTATATATAGAGAGATTTACAAACGGGATAACGGATTTAATTAGATTAACAAACGGGATAACGGATTTAATTAGATTAACAAACGGGATAACGGATTTAAGTAGATTAACAAACGGGATAACGGATTTAAGTAGATTAACAAACGGGATAACGGATTTAAGTAGATTAACAAACGGGATAACGGATTTAAGTAGATTTACAAGACTGACAAATAGTACAGTTAAATCGTAAACACATGCTGTTTAGGTGTTTCTTATCAAGTTTGCAGAGCCTCTTGATAAACAACATTTCTGGTCTTTCTGTGTCGGGTACAAATAAACAGATGATTGGGATTACCAACTTTTGAACATCCCACATAATGGCCATTTGACTAAATCGATTCTGCATAGTTAAGGTCTACTGCACCCAAGGACTGCCCCTGGTCTTTGTTAATGCTAATTGCAAAACTCAGTTTCACTGGGAATTGCAACCACTTGAACTGGGAAAGCATTTCCAAGGGAATAATTGGAATTTTAGAAATAAATACAACCTCACTGCTTGCTTTACCAGTCAGAAGCATTAGCTCCAAGACAGTTGGCATCATCTTAATTGTAAGTCATGTGCCATTGGAAAGCTTTGGTTGATCCAGGTTTCTTAGCAACATCATTGATGCTCTAATCTTGAGGTGAAAATTGTGAAGTGGTGTTAGGCTATTAAAAAATTCAACTGGATAATTCACAACTTCTTTGGTACAACATCAATAGCGCTCACCTGTAGAAGTTTGATGTTCAAACCATGAACTGCCACATGCTTTGGGGCTAAAATGGCATGGGTTCTCAGTCAGTTGTGATCTATTAACTGATTTCTCAGGTTAGAAAGCACCTGACTTATTAGTTCCTTTAAATCAGATGCCATATGTCCAAGAGGCAAAATGACTCAGCCATCCTGCTCACCAACCAAAATGCCATTACCAACATCTTAGAAAAAGTACCAGCTTCCTCATCACCTCTGAGCTGCACTTTGATGTTGGTTGTGAGTTTCAGCTTTTTCACACTGCTCCACAGGTAGGAAGACTTTATACTGGCCTTTACCTCATCAACTCTTGTCCCTTTCGGAATCACTGGAAGGGCTTGTCTAAAATTTCCAGCAAGCAAGACTGTTGCACCCCTCATGAGTTGTGTGTTGTGTCTAAGATCCTGAAGTGCCATGTCAAGAGCCGGCATTACCCTCACGATCTGTTTAGGTGAAACCTAGGTAGGTTTACCTGGCTGCTTCGGATTATATATATATATATATGTTAAAATCACAAATATATTTATTAGGAATATGGAGGGTTGGTGGTGTAATGGATAGTGACCCAGAATGAGGAATCTAAGAGCAGTGTTTGAATTCCAGTTCATTACATGTTGTCCTTGAGAAACTTATAAATCCATCTCTTCTCCTACCAGCTATCGGTAAATAGCAGTGTAGACTGGATCCTCTAGTCTTGAGTGGTAACTGGTTTAGGAGAAGGACTGTCCTGAATTCAAAACTTCCAACTATGGGTTAAATAACCTCTCAAACCTGCAATTGGCCAAGCATCGGGAGTACAGTTACACTCCTGGAAGACATGGCCAATCAGTTAAGGGTTCCTTCAAATAGGAGTGAGAAGTCTGTGAATCTGGATCCAATGAGCTTTCATCCTAAGTACATTTTTTTTATATTCGTTAACAGACAAATCATTTGGCTGGTTTGAGAGAATCTTGAATTTTAAAAAAAAAATAAATTATAAAAATTCCATGAATAAATATATTTTCTCCTTCCTCTGATGAATTGGGGAGATGAGCCTAAAAAAAAATGCAAGATAAAAACAATCATAAATGCTGTTTCATAGAAAAATTGAAGTTTTAAACATTCTATTTTTTAAATTCAAAGAAAATTGTTACCTTGGCTGGACATGTGTTAATAGGAATATTAAAAATAAATATTAATAGTGATATTAAAAATAAATATTAAACCATAATTGTATTTGTTAAAAGATAAATTGTTTGGCTGGTTTCAGAGAGAAAAAAATGAAAACAAAATTCATAAATGCCATACTCGAGTACAGTGTGAGTTTTTATGATCAGTTTTTTTTTTTTTTATGTCCCCCAAAAAAAGGAAAAGGTGGTTGCACTATACACAAGTAATTTTGAGGGAGAGGTTAAAAATGATGCATTTTCAATAACCAATTGTACTATACACTAGTAAATTTTTTCTGGAAGGGATAAAATTTGTGCAAAAAATTTGGGTTGAATTATGCATAAAGTATTCGCAGTAAATATATTTTCTCTCTCCTCTGAATTAGAGAGAGGGATATAATTAAATTTGAAACAATATATATAATTAATAACTAATATTTAACAATATTAACTAATAATAATATTATTATTAAATTATATAATAATAAATATAAATAATATTATAATATAATAATAATATAATAATAAATATAAATAGTATATTATAATAATAATAATAATATAATAAATATAATAATAAATATAAATAGTATATTATAATGAATATAATTAATATATAATAAATATTTATAATTAAAAATAAACTTGATATAATTTAAAAAGAGGTTAAAAATTATGCATTTTTGGTGACTGGTTGCACTATAAACAGGTAAATCTTTTCTGGAGGGATTAAAATTCATACCCAAAAATTCAGGTGTTGTGTTATACATGAGGTATATACATTAAATATATTTTCTCCTTTCTTTGATGAATTGGAGAGAAAGGGCCTAAAAAATGTAAATCAATAACAAAGATACAAATAATCTCTTAATGCCAACAAAATGGAAATTCTGATTATTATTTGTACTTTTTATTGAAATATGTTTTTCTGTTTTTAGTTCTGACCAATATTCTTTGTTTTCCAAGATGGCAGTAGGAAAATTTCTTTGTACTTTTACCAAAGAGGAAATTCCTTCTCAGGGGAAAATAACTATTGAAAGACTATCATTTCTTCTTTAATGTCAGAGGTGGGTGTTCATCTCACGCTGTGAATTAAGCAAGAAATGTCGATCCAATTTAGAAAATTGGATAAAATACATTTTGAGTGAAAAATTGATTGAGCAGGCTCTTTTTGTAAAAGATTTTGTTTTAACCCTTGGTTTTACAAGTTTTTTTTTGGTGGGGGGTCATGGAGATGGGGAGAATGGTTTTACATATAATGTTACTAAAATAGTTGTTGGGATGTTTTTTTATTTTATTATTCATTTTTTACAGGGATTTTTTTTTTTTTTTAGTTTAATTTTTTTTTAATTAATTTCCCCATTCACTCATTTTCCTATTTCTTTCTTGCCATACCTTTCTCATTCTTTCCTCTTTTCCATTTCTGCCTCATCCCCTCTTTTTCTTGCTGATATCTTTTTGTTTTCTCTTATCTTCCCTCTTTTTGTTCCATCACCCTTCCTTTTACTGTCACTCTTGATGTTTGACCTCTCTTTTGCGCTGCCAATTCTCTTCCTTGTTCCTTTCTTTTCCTCTTTTTTTATCCAGCATATGCAAATCTCTCTTTTTTCCTCATACTTGATCTCTCTCTGTCCTCTCAGCCGTTGTGCACATATTTTCCTTCTGTCTCTTCTCTCTGTCCTGTTTTTTTCTCTCTCTTTAAGCCCTCTCCTTACTGCCACCTGTCTATTTCTCTCTCCTCATGACCTCTCTTCTCTAGCTTCTCTGTCTGCTCCCCTTTCTCGCTCTGTCTGCTCCCCTTTCTCGCTCTGTCTGCTCCCCTTTCTCGCTCTGTCTGCTCCCCTTTCTCGCTCTGTCTGCTCCCCTTTCTCGCTCTGTCTGCTCCCCTTTCTCTGTCTCTGTCTGCTGTCCCCTTTCTCGCTCTGTCTGCTCCCTTTTCGCTCTGTCTGCTCCCCTTTCTCGCTCTGTCTATATATATTTCTCCCTGTCGCTCTGTCTGTCCCCTTTCTCGCTCTGTCTGCTCCCCTTTCTCGCTCTGTCTGCTCCCCTTTCTCTGTCCCTTTCTCCCAAATAATTACTCTCTCACTCACCCTTCTATCATGGATTTTCATCCCTTTTTTTTCTTCCTTTGTTGGACCCTGAGCAAGGCCCTTGTTTTCATTTCTTTTAACCTCACTTACATCAATTAAACCAATGATTGTTTTTTATCAGAATGATTCAGCCATCGATTTTAAAAACACATTAAAAGAAAAAATTGCTAAGTCTTTTTATTTTTTCATTTTAAATTTCTTTACATTATATTTTCACCATATTTTTTACTTCATTTGAATTTTTAATGACCTTGTCTAAAATGTTTGTTTTCATTGTCTAAGTAAACCTGTATTGTCCAGTTTTAAAAGGTTTTGGAAATAACAAAAAGAAGATATTTTTTTTTTACATTCAGGATGGCTCCTGTCGTTTTTTGTTTTGTTTGCTTTTTTATCATTCCACACTAAGCAAGTTTATAATGCTACTAAGATGCAAGTGATTATTGGGAATGGAAGAAAACATGACAATTTTAGTAACAAGAAAAGACAAAGTACAGGGTTCAGGAAGACAGAAGATGGTAATTGACATTGCATTTAAATTTTTGAAGAACATAAGTGGCAGGGAAGCAAGAATGTAAAATGTGAGAAACATGAGAAAAGAAAGCCATGGATAAAAACATCTCAATGTGTTTACCAGAGTTTAAAAGAATTTCTTATCACTCACATCAAAACAGGTATTCTCATTTTAAAGATAAATAGCAAAAAAAAAGAGATGTCCTTATCCTTGTTGTTATCACCCTCTAATTTCTAGTCTGAATTTCTGGGATGTGGAGTTATCATTATTTTCATTCAAAATAATGTCCTCTTCTTTTTTGTTATCACTTGAATGCCTTCTGTCTGAATTTCTAGGATGAGTAGTCATTATTTGCATTCAGAATAATGTCCTCTTCTTTGTTGTTATTATTACTTGATTGCCTTCTGTCTGAATTTCTGCAATGAGAAGTCATTATTTGCATTCAGAATAATGTCCTCTTCTTTGTTGTTATCATCTAATCACCTTCTGTCTGAATTTCTAAAATGACTAGTCACTAATATCTGAGTCTTTGTTGTTGTTACCACATTTTGGCTGTTGTGTAACCTGCAGGGAATTCTGACTTGATCTTCTTATTTAATCTAAGTGGATAGATTGTTCTCATTCAGCTTTCCAGGTCTAGGGGTATTTTTTAGAACTACTCTGTTATTGCTCGTTCACGACGTCTGTACTATCTTGCCCAGAGATTGAACTCACAATGACTATGCCACCAAAATCATGAAGCAACATCTTTTGACTAGCAATCATTAAGAAATACTAAAAACAAGATATCTCTAGACATATTTTATGTGTCATGTCCTGAAGGACATAGGCGATCATGGCTCTCCACAATTTCCTTTCCTTAGTAGCACTTAAGAAATTTTGTCTTTTAGTTATCTCTTCTAAATCTTGTTCTGCCATCCATTTACTTGATAGGGAGGTTATGCTTTGTTTTCCTTTCTCCTTGTTTCCTTCAATCTGTCCTGTGAGTATCAAATTATCTAAGCCCTCTTTCCTTATCTGCCCCATAAATTTCAACTGCCTCTTCTTGATGTTGAGTAGAAGTGTCCTTTTTGTTTACCATTATAGATCAAATAAATATATGCAGACATGAACAATTTCAGAGTTATGGCTTGAGTAGTTTAATGATAAGCAAAATTAATAAAAATTAAGTTGCTGGCATTGCTTCATCGAGCAATGTTGCTGCTAATATTATTTAATAAACCAACTAAAATTAAGATGAAAGATATGCTATGAAAAAATTTGTAAAAATTTACAATGCTTCATCTGATAAAAAGGTAATTTCATTGTTAATATTTGCCAAAAATGAATGATGGTTAACAATTCATCATCTAATAATAAAATTCATGGTAATATTATTACTAATACTACTAAATGTAATAAAAAGCAAGTGAAATTAATATGAAAGAAATCCTTGTCAAAAATGAATAATGCTTCATAAGGCTCTATCTAATAAGGATAAATTCAAGATAATATTACTACTAATACTACTAATGGAATAAAAAGCAAGTGAAATTAAGATGAAAGAAATCCTAGTCAAAAATGAATAATGGCTGACAATGCTTCAGCTAATGAAAATAAAGTTCAAGATAATATTACTACTAATACAACTAATGTAATAAAAAAAAAAAGCAAGTGGAATTAAGATGAAATAGATCCTTGACAAAAATGGCTGATAATGCTTCATCTAATAATAATAAAATTCATGATAATAATACTGCTTTCTTTTGTATATTCCATTAGATCCTCACTCTTAACCTGCCATAGCTAGATTGTAAATATTGTTACTTTTTTCGTAACCTTTTCACTGCCAAGTTCCACTTAGGTTATATTGTCTAGGTAAGATGACATTTTTATAGAGTCATTATAAAACATTTGCTTTCTGTTAGATCCCATCTCATAATGCAGTTTAGATTAATTGCAGTTAATTCAACATTGCTAACTATCTTCACCTTTGATTCATTGTCCACAATTCTCTCCTGTGCCATATCATAAAAATGATCACTCAACTGGAGAAATTAATCTGGATTTCCCTTGACTATAAAAATCAAAGACCAATTAAATGCAAAAAAACAAGAAGTTGATATTTCATTTTTCATCTAGATATGATCTGGTGCCCCTGCGATTTACCTTGAGCTCCTTGATTCGATCCAAAGAAGAATCAGCAATATTATTGGTCCTGATCTGGTGGTTCAGCTTCAGTCACTTGCCCATCACTCTAAACTTTTCTCTTTATGCTTTTTCTATAAATACTTTCATGTTAATTGTTCGGATGAGCTCTTCACTATGATAGGTGGTTGTAGTAAGAAAGGTACGTATGAATGTGTTGTTTTAGTGTAAGGAATATTGTTCGTACGATTGGGTCAGTGTTTGCGGCTAGCTAAGTTATAGTTAAGACAGAAGAAGACCGGCCTTTCCCCAACCCCCTTTTCGGTCTTGTGCCACATTTCTGTATAAATATCGCTCTTCACTATGATACCTAGACTTTTTTAAATTTAAGTACAATACTAAACTGGCAACAAGGTTTCATCAGTTTGCAGTTGAGTTGACTAGATGTAACCATAAGTTTTATGCTAAGAGTTTTTCTCAAACTTCTTGCTTGTGGAACTCCCTTTTGGCTCCATGCTTTCCAACCAACTTTAATCTCTAAAAATTTAAATGCAATGTCAATCATTATGTACTGTCCTGATTATTCTTTTTGCTTATTAATGTTTCTGTTCCTAATTCTTCCACACCCTGTAACCCCTTGTGTTTTAGTGGCTTTACTGCCTTGCTTGTGGCACTCCCTGTCGGCTCTATGCTTTTTAGCCAACATTGCTTTTCAAAAATTTAAATGCAATACCAATCACTATCTACTGTCCTCCTGATTACTCTTTTCTCTTTCTTTTCAACATTATTAATGTTTCTGTTTCTAATTCTTTCACACCCTGTAACGCCCTTGTGTTTTAATGGCTCTACTGCCTTGCATGGGGAGTGGGGTGATACCAATTAAAAAACAAAAGAAAAAAAAAGATATGTTAAGGGTAAGGAGGACCAGTTTTTACTGAATATTCAAGATTCACTTCATATCTGTGCAACAATCTCTTTTATTCTATAAATATTTAACAAAATTTGACTTTATATAATTATCTCTCAGAGAACCTGATCTCTCCTGAGAAATGAGATATTCCTTCATGCTAATTACTGTCACATTCATAACATTTCAACCATTGTATGCTCCAGCCTTCTTCATGTGACATTTGTTGGAATTTCAAACCAAACCCTTTATTTAGTCCACAGGGGTAGATTCTTCTAATTCCACATGCCATGCCTTTTGATATCACAGTTAAGTTGCTTTGATAACTCTGAGTTTTTGATCTCTCTGCTGAAACATTGTGAATATATCAGTAAAGTTGAGAACAACAGTCAGAACTGAACAGTGTCAATGGTGTAAACAGTTACAATATCTCATCTCAAAAATATAAGAAAATGTTGAATAACTGTGTAAAATCCTATGCTGTTTTTTTTTTTTTTTTTAAATTTTCATATTGTGATAGCTTTCTTGAGATTATTGACTTGAATATTTTCAAAAGCAGAATACTTTCTTAGATGCAGTAATAGAATTAAAAGAATTGATCAAAAGCTGAAATTAGTCAAAATTTATTAATGCTAGTATAATTTTGAAGGTTCATATAATTTAGTTTATTAGATATAGATGACCTCAAGGATTAGTCTTACTTTGTCTTCATAAAATATACTTTAATAATAGTTGCTCCATCCAATATATGAAATATGCACACAAATAAAAAAAGTTTGGTTGGTTGACTTAACCTGAACATATATTTTGGGTTATTTAATATTGAATATAGGTCATCTAGTTCATACTAGAGTCAAAATGGTGGACATAGGTCAGCATGTCTGGTTTTACCACCAGTCCATAAAGGCAGAGACATGTTAATATTTACCTCAGAGCCAGAAAGGCAGATGTATCTTCAAATTTACTCCCACAAGTCCGGATTTACCATTGCAAGTCAAACGCATGTCCATTTTCAGCATGGGTCCAGTTTCCCCCTCAATCCATAAAAGCAGAAGCTGGTCCTATTTTTCCACCTGCTCAGAAAAGGCAGTGGTTTGTCCTGTTTTCTACACACTATGAAAAGCCAGAGGCTTGTCCTGTTTTCCACCGACTATATGAAGGCAGAGGCTGGTCCCATTTTCCACCCACTATGAAAAGGTAGAGGCTGGTTCTGTTTTCCATCCAAATCAAAAAGGCTGACCGGCTGGTTTATACTTGCATTTTCAAGTACCCATTTTGGATGTTGTCCCTTTTTGTTACGTTTTGCCCATTTGTTGTTGTTGTTGTTGTTGCAGTTGGCATATTTTAAGCACCACCAAAATGACAAGTGACTGTACCAACATTACAGAAGTAGTGCATAAAAGACTCTTATAACAACTTTGCATCAAGTTATTGTTGAATTTAACATGTTGAAGATACTTTACTAATGCTCTGCTACTGTGGCCTTGTGCCATACTAAATAAAGAAA